CCCAATGGCTAGATTCATCTATATTTGACCCAAAGTTGGGTTAAAACAACTCAGCATTTTTAGAGTGTAGGTTAGTAGTCACGACTCATTGTTAGTTACTCTATATACCCAGAAATTAAACTTGTTATCATTTATTCATACTCTTGTCGCTTCATCTGCCTTTGACATTCCCTGCACTCTAAAAAAATGCTGGGTTGTTTTAACCCAATTTTGGGTCAAATATGGACAAACCAACCCGATCTCACGGGAATTCGTACGAATTTTACGAGGTGGCTAATTCGTAACAATTTGTACGACCTCACTCGTACGAATTAGTACGATTTAGCTAAATCGTACATATTTTACGAATTAGCCAATTCGTATGAATTCGTACGAATGACCTACCCCTGACCCCGCCCCTAAACATAACCATCACGTGGGTTTAGACAAATCGTACAAATTTGTACGAGTGAGGTCGTATGAATTAGTACGAATTAGCCACTTTTGAATCATTCGTACGAATTGGTCGTGAGATAGGGTAGGACAAACTCAAACATTGAGTTTCAACATATTTTAACATTTAAACCAACAGCTGGGTTCGTCTATGTTTGATCCAATGTTGGGTTGAGAAACCCTGCTTCTCTGTCCCTGCTCCTATCATGGCCAAACATGCCGGGGAGATTTGGGAGTCGTTGCCTGTGTGGCGTTCACAGGAGCTTTGGCCGAGAGAACACAGACTGGGCCAAAGGCTAGAGAGCCCAGCACACATGGACAGGGCTTCCTCAAATGCTCTTATCAACAGAAGAGTGGGACTATTAGCAGTGATTGGGGTTTGTGTGCTGTGTGTGTTTTATCTGTACCGGCAGCCCAACATGTCCCGTTCCACTTCAGCTTCTGCCGAAGCACTTCACTGGCTTCCTCCTCCTCCTTCACGCTCGCTGTCCATTTGCAGCTTTGCGTTCGGCTCTCGCAGGCACAATTTTTGGCCCCGTTGGAGCTTTGCTCTGGAAAAACTAGCAGGTACGTGACCCGACCGAGTCATGCTGGGGGAATGGAGGCATTTGGAACAATCTCACTGAAATGTTTCCTGTAAAGTGCGTCATTTTAGCTTGTCTGTCATTGGTTGGAGAACAGGTAAATATAGTTAAAGGTGGGGTAGGTAGAAATTTTCTTTTTCCCAAATTTGTTTAAACTGTCTATGTATACCAATTCAAAATGATACTAAAACAATAAAATTTGTTTTGGGATCCCTAAACAAACGGATTAAAGGGATAGTTCACTTTGAAATTAATGTTTGGTGTGTTTTATCTTACCTCAAGGGCATCCAAGATGTAGGTGTCTTTGTTTCCGCAGTAGTTTCAATTTTGTTATTTTTAGGTCAAACCATTCGTCTGTCAGTCATATAATGGAGGTCTATGGTCACCACCTCAAAGAGCATGCACAGAGAAGTCCAGATTAAACATGATTTAATGACTCGTAAATGTAAGTACACATTGATGGCCTAAGACACGAAACGAGCGGTTTGTGTGAGAAAACCAACAGTATTTATATCGTTTTTACCTCGTGTAATCACAGCCACGTCCAAGTAGTCTGAGGGCGCAGATGTAAAAACGATATTTTGGCTGAACAAAATATTTGTGCAGCTAATGCTCCTTTGGTTATGAACAGCTCGTGCAAGTGTGTGTGTGTGTGTGTGTGGGCCATGAGCGTGCACACCTCTGGTTGCAGTTTCACTTGTCGCCAGAGGGGGCGTAGTTCTGCGAAAAATCAGAGATTGTTAATCAAATACTTTTACAAATAAAGTTTTATTCACAGCAATGCAATAGATGAACCATTTTGGTTCCCCAAATAACCGTTTCAGTGGTCAGTTCTTAAAAGAACCAGTTTTTCTGAAGAATCGAAAGAACCTTTTATGGAATGGAAAGATTAATTTCCTCATTGGACCATCGACGCCAATAAATATACTGTGTAAATACAGTAAATATAGAATTATATTTAGCTTTTAAACGGTGTTGGGTAAGTTACTCTAAAAAAGTAATTAATTACTAGTTACTAATTACCTCTTCAACAGTGTAATTTGTTTACTGTACTAATTACTCTCTCTAAAACGCATTTAATTACTTTCAAAATCCCATATCAATCTCAACCAGCTGAATGATACAAGGATAGACACGAATCTGTTTTAATTCTTTCAAATAAATACTATAAAATTGCATGAATTATCCTTAAACTGACCAAGGTGGAGAAGGTTACATTATAAAAACATACTTTTTAGCATCAGACAATACATTTTGATGTTAAACCCACTATTGTTTTATGTCTGATCTCATGACATTTCACACTTTTTTCATACATATTTTACAATAATTCATACGAATTTGTACAAGTGCGGTCGTAATATTTAGACACCTCATATAAAATGCATACGAATCGCTGATTGATTTACCTCAATTACATCAGAAGTAACTGTAATTAAATTACAGAGTAATCCCTTACTTTACATTTTCAAGGGAAAAGTAATTAAATTACAGTAAGTAATTACTTAGTAATTAGTTACACCCAACACTGCTTTTAAAACAATTCACATTAAGGAAGGCTGAAACTGTTCATCACCAAAGAGTCTCGAAGTTTAGGGAAGCTCAATTTATAGCATCTCCTGAAACTGTAAAGAGCCCTGTTTCCATGGGAACTGCAAAGCAATCGAGATGAGGTTCCCAACCTGACATTAGTGAGATCCCACGACACCATCACAGTCTGTAGGCAGGAACTTTAAACCTCATGACTCCCAAAACAAAGACTTACAAATACACGACACAGCAGCGGGACTGATAACACATTACTGATGAAACACTCACACTGATGCAATCCATCCTTTTGGCCACAAATGTTGTGCTAATTATTGCATGAAACATTTTTGCTATATTGCACTTTGTTTTTTTGACAAATCCCCAACTGTAGCCTAATGTATACCAATCCTTTTCAATTCTGACCTATAATTCAATACAGGCAAGCCTCCTGTCCTCCTCTGACATCAGTGTTTTTGCAGCGTGGAACAAGTGAGCCATGAAAATCTATTACTATTGTTACATTCACTGCAGTATTATTGATTAACTGCCTTCCAGAACAATTAAAACCTTGAAGAGAGCCTTTTCTCAATGGGTGAATCACACAAAAACACTTCCAGGTCGCATCTCAGCCCAAAATCTGTGATTTCCAGAGGCACGGATCCATCCTCCATTCTCCTCGTTCCTCATTTGCAGCGAGTCTAATTTCACAGTCGCTGTCGCGTGGAAGTTTTCACCTGACGTTGAGATTATTATCTTGGGTGTCAGACGAGGCATTTCAAAAGGAGACTTCAATAGTATTCTTGGCACAGAGTCAGTGTCAATGAGAAAAATCCCTCAAAACATCATTTAATTTGTATGTTAATGCATGAATTCAATTTGAATAATGTAGAGGGGCTTGAATGGGTTTGTATTATGATTAAAAAAAATACTGTAAAAACATTTGAGCATTACTGGAGACATGCATAGTGTGAACTGCATGCAATATAGCATTCACATACATGCACACCTGCAATACTGGACAAATAGAGGATAATGCATCTCACAAAAGAACATATCCAGGTATTATTTCACCCCAAAATCAAAGGGGATTATATTTTGCTAAAATAAACTAGCCTTTTTTTTTTTACTGTGAAGGATATGATAATTAAGTCCACCAATAATACTCATTACCGTAATGAAAGAAAGTGATTTATTATCTGCATTTTTAGTATTTAATTTGCTGATTTAAGCAAATGCATTGGAGTTATTATTATTTATTATTCTGTTTTTAAGGTCAAATGTGATCATGATCCATGTGCCTTATGGAAATTTACCAGCCATTAATATTTTATACTGGTTATGACACTGAAATTTTAGATACCAGTGATAATTCACAGTTCTCCATTACAATCAGTGGCGGAGGTTCTACATTGAATTACACCCCGGGCGAGACCCCCCACGCCCCACAAAATTCTGCACAATTATATTTCATTATAACAACATAATTGCCCCATGCATTTGTGGTATTATGAATGAATTTCAATGAAATTGAATTCAATGAAATGTGCATTATTTAGAAGAAAGTCGAGGTGGTGTGACTGACTTTAGCCCACTAATTATTTTTTTTCATTTGAGAGGTACTTTTTAAAATTGAAAGTGGCAGAGCTACTCATGTACAATACTTAAATCTCTTAAATAATGCCTCATAACTATCCTATTAACAACTACCCAAAATGTTTTAGACCTAAAAGAATGATGACATTAGAATGACCTATTAATGTGCAGACCTTGACATTGAAATAAAAAAGGGAAAGACTATAGCGCTATCTGGTGGATATTTAGTAAATTGCATATAGCTGTTGGACGTTGAAGCCTTTCAATTATCATTCACAGAGCATGCACCTCATATTTATGGTATTTATATGCACATTAAAATGCATTGCAAGTATGCACACTATAAGAAAAACTATAGCTGACCATCCGATAAACGATTGTCTATCCACCCAAAATCTGAAGTTATCCAAAACCACATTGCATTCAAGATATACATTTTATCATGATTAACTCTAACACAGTTATTGTAGCCTAATCATGAAAAAAACGCCTTCAATGTAACACTTTGATAACAAATGGCATTAAATCACCATGATTTTATTGTAACAATAACTTAACCGTCTTCACTGTAAAAAATTATGACAAAACATTGGGTTAACTCATCAGAATAAGTTAAGCAACTTTCAACTTTTTTATATAAGTTATACAAGATTCAACACTTTTTAAAGTCAGTTTAATGTAATTTAGGTTGAAATGACTTACTTTATTAATTTAAGGCGGCGACTTTGTTTTGTTTTGAAAATAATCGATGAATAAATCGAGAAATTGAATGTAGCCTATGGTCATTCAGCTTCTAAAAATAATTCATTCATCAATAATTAAACTCAAATATTGGTGAAAGTGAAAATAAAGATTGTGATTTAGATTCAATTAACGTGCATTCATTTTTTTAAACTATTTTGTACTCTTAGCATGTGTGAATTTCAATGCGCTTTGTCGAAATCTGCTGTCAGGAGCCTCACGAGCTCCACCATCATCATCTTCATCATTCTCCTCCTCCCCACCCCTCAACCTCTCCCTGCGGGAACGACAATATCCAGGTCTTAGCATTCCCAATTTGGAATTGCAAATCCTCGCTAAAGGAACCAATTTGATCGGCGCAAACCGCATTCTTTCTTAAATGGCGTCAGAAACGCGTCTCACGCGCGCGTTATCGCACAGGCGGTAACGTTATGGCGGCTAATCAGACTCTCTGTCAGGGTTTCGATGCATGTGCTTATCTGTGTTATCATACGACCATTTAAGCATATCTAAACTACTGCTGATCTTTGTCATTTGAAAGATGCATTAATTGCCTAATCAAATCGCAGGTTGTTGCAAACGGAAGTAAGCGATGAAATTCGACTTCAAAATGCTTAACGGAATGGATAGGCGTGTTTGAAAGCGCAGGTTGGGTTGCATTGGTGTGCGTTTGTAACCAGTGGATGCTGACGAGTCTGGGGAGAGCTTGAGGTGGTCATTGTTCCAGCCATGTCTCCTCCAGCATCTGCTGCGACGGCCAGTGAGAGCAGCACCACCACTGTGTTCGAGGACGACACGGACGCGGCGAGAGAGGAGGTACTCGATAACGCACGCGGTTTTCATTTAGCAGCCATGACGATGCGTGATAACAGACAAAAACTAAAGATCCCGATATGTAAACATGAGCATCGACGTGCACAACATGGAAGCATGCAACAATAGACATCACTGCAGTGAGAGAACGCATGAGCAGAGATTGGCTTTATCAAATAACAAACGGCCGAACAGGCTTTGTTATTGTAAGCAAAAGAGGTAAAATCCACGGATGCATGATTCTACATAACAACTGACACTCAATATGAAACAGAATCATGTCAGACATGAACAATATTTATTGAGCACATATTCAACCATATTGATAAACCAATAGGCTATATGGGCCAGGTCAATATTTAGTAGTGCAAAGCAAACAAAACCAGCCTAAGCCTTACATGATTTGCTGGTTGGTAAGCTGAAAAGTGTGCAAAAAATAAATAAATAAATAATAATAATAATAATAAAAAAAATCACTTAAATGACAATTGCCATTTAAGTGAAATTACTTAACTTAAATATACAAGCTTGATAAAAATGATCATTTTAGAAGAAAATTTCAAATGGCACTTAGAGGCTTTTGCATCTGAACTCTTATATAAATATAGGACCTACCCCAACCTCGTCCCTAAACGTCATATAACTGACGTCTTGGGACGTCTTTTGACCATACGTCAACATCCGCCGTTTTAGGGTACCCTTTAACGTCAGTTAGATGACGTTATCGGATCCTAACCCTTCCCCAGACCTAAACCTACCCCGTCACCTAACTGACGTTAAAGGTAAAGCGTCAGTTGTATGACGTCCCAGAATCGTCATGAAATTGACGTTAAAGGGTACCCTAAAACGGCGGATGTTGACGTATGGTCAAAAGACGTCAGTTATATGACTTCTTGGGATGAGACTGTGTTAACCCGTTACTGGGGTTCATACCATTTATGAGTCTTTCCCTTACCATCCTAGGGAAAAACAATATCGCTCCCCAGATGTAGATCTACATTTTGCTTCGTTTCGCTCGGACATTTAACGGTGTGTACTTGCACGCGGAATCACTCGGACATTTATCGGATAGTTCAAAATGCGTTTAGATAACACGCCACTTGATTCAAAAGTGGCGTGTATGTTTATGCTAAAGTCATGATGTCATGTTACAAATGCAATGTGTCGCTTTGGATAAAAGTGTCTGCCAAATGCATAAATGTAAATGATAAGATCCAAAGAGATATCAAATGTACTTAAATTTTATAAAGTACAGAAGTATACGTACTCTGTCTCTCTCTCACACACACACACAGCATGAATATTAGCCAATAAAGGAATACAATTCTGCATTTTCTCATCTTGCTTTCAAACATGCATGTGGTATTTGCATAAATCACTGTACTCACTGTTTCCATGTCCTTTTTAACACTCCCCTCCGTTGTTCTCTTTTGTGTTTGACGAGCAGCAGAGGCCTGTGAAACAGTCACTGAGCAAGTCCATGTGCAGAGAGGTGTTCTGGAAATGCCTGCTGCTGTCTATGCTCATGTACGGCTGCATGGGAGCCATGGTGTGGTGCCACGTCACCAAGGTCACCCGGTTGACCTTCGACAGTGCCTACAAAGGGAAGTCCATGATGTATCATGACAGTCCCTGCTCAGATGGCTACATCTACATCCCACTGGCCTTCCTCATCATGCTTTACGTCGTTTACCTGGTGGAGTGCTGGCACTGCCATGCCAAAAATGAGCTTCAGTACAAGGTGCACGTGGAGGGAATTTACGAAAGAGTCCAGAGGATGCAGCAGGCCAAGCCTTGCATCTGGTGGAAGGCCATCAGCTACCACTACGTGCGGCGGACACGGCAAGTCACGCGGTACCGCAACGGAGACGCGTACACCACCACGCAGGTGTATCACGAGAGGGTCAACACCCATGTAGCCGAGGCAGAGTTCGACTACGCCCACTGTGGAGTCAAGGACGTCTCCAAGCAGCTAGCGGGTCTGGAAAAGTCAGCCATCACCAAACTGAGGTTCACCAAGTGCTTTAGCTTCGCCAACGTGGAGTCCGAAAACTCCTACTTGACCCAACGTGCACGGTTCTTCACCGACAACGAAGGATTGGATGATTACATGGAGGCCCGGGAAGGGATGCACTTGAAGAACGTGGACTTCAAAGAGTACATGATTGCCTTCTCCAACCCAGACCACCATCCCTGGTACGTCTCCAACTGGGTCTTTTGGACAACGGCCTTTCTTACCGTGTCCTGGCCGTTACGGGTTCTGGCGGAGTACCGCACGGCTTACGTCCATTACCGTGTCGAAAAGCTCTTTGGTGCTGACTACATAGCTGTGACGCCCTGCGACGAGAGACCTTACTGTAGACGCATCCCGAGAGTCAACACCATCGACAGCACCGAACTGGAATGGCACATTCGCTCTAACCAGCAGCTGGTGCCGAGCTACTCCGAGGCGGGTCTGATGGATCTGGCACAGCGCTCGGGAGGCGTCAGGCAGAACTGCGAACGCTGCCACCGCGCCATCAGCAACTCATCCGTGTTTTCCCGAAGCGCCCTCAGCATCTGCAACGGCAGTCCTCGCATCCCCTTCAGCGGGAGCCGCTTCTCCTTGGGAAGACTGTACGGTTCTCGCCGAAGCTGCTTCTGGAGAAGCGGGAGCGGGAGTCTGGACGAACCCGAGAGTCCCAGCGAGAACACGCGATGCCTGTCCGGACGGATCAACGCTGATGAGGAAGACCCACCGGCCTACCAGGATGCGCTGTACTTCCCGGTGCTTATCGTCCACTGCAACGAGAGTTGTCCCAATCACCGCTCCTTCCATAGGAACAGCTCGTGTGTGGAGACGTCCTTATGATCGGACCTCTTTGACTACATAAAACCACTGAAAGAAGGAGGAACATCTCAACATGAGATCCTTTTGAAAAACTCGACATGTCCTGTAACTCAGGAATCATTTATTGGAATATTTATCAGTCCACAACACTGTATGCTTACAACAGATGGAACAATTCCCAAATACAGGGGTTGGACAATGAAACTGAAACACCTGGTTTTACAACACAATAATTTGTTAGTATGGTGAGGGCCTCATTTTGCATCCAAATACAGCACCAATTCATCTTGGGAATGACAGATGGGAAGTCCTTCACATTGATCAGAGGGATTATGAGCCGTTCCTCTTCCAGAACAGTCTCCAGGTCACTATATGATGCTGGTGGACTCGCTCCTCCAAAACACCTCAATAATATTCAGATCTGGTGACTGTGCATGTTCAACGTCACTTTCATCTTCATCAAACCCTTCTGTCACAAGTCTTGCTGTGTGTGTTGGTGCATGATCATGCTGATACACGGTTTGAGCATCAGGTGCTCATGATCCTCCAGAAGGGTTTGGTAGTCCTCGGCAGTGTCGTGTCCATCAAATACAATCAGGATTGTCATGATATTGGAGCTCAAACCATCACTGATCCACCCGTGCTTCACTCTGAAGATTGGCCGCCGGGCATATAGATGTGAAACCTCCAACATTGGCCAGTGTTTCAGTTTCATTGTCCAACCCCTGTAACTCAAGTAATACACATTTACAGCAATAATGAAGACAGAGCATTGGAGCTCCTGGTACAAGTAATCATTTTCACATTGTCATTAACCGGCTATCTAGGAGTGCAAAAACGGGCTTGACTGCTATAAAGAACAATCGCCACATCTACAGAGCAAAAACCTGGTCCTTTTTCTACAAGTACGACCAACTTTTCACCTTTATGGACCTTCTTAAATGTTGCACTTGAAGTCAATTCATCTGTAAAAGAATGTTACTTTGTTTCTCTCGCATAGTGGATTCCAGTGGACCATGAAATGTATGGTTTACATTCATATGTGAACACTCTTTCTGTATATGAGAAAACATCATGCGTTATTTGTACTTTAACTGTGATTTAACTGCATCAGGCAGAACAATATTCGGTAAGGAACTGTTATGGCGATGTTCGCAACACTGCATATCTCAAACCATGCGACACATTTCAGGCTATGCAACTATTAACCTCTGGTCTGTTATGCCTTTAAAACGTATATACAATTTACAATGGAATGTATGACTGTTGAAGCTCTTCTTTACATCGCTTGTATTTAGTGTACAAACTATCCAACAAGGACTGAACTATTAAGTGAAGGCAGACATGAACAGGCTTGTATATTAGTGAATGTTTTCAGTAGCCGGCAACTGCTCTTTTACTTGGCCGGAAATTGCAGTGGATCAGAGCGAAAGCAACAGATCAAGCGAGGGAAAATACATTTCTTTATGCAGCTGTACATTTATTTATTGGTTTACAGCCATTTGATAATCAGTACTGTGTATGTAACTCTTTTGGATTAACTGTAACAAAGGTGCAGCTTCATGAAAGCTCCATTCATCAACACGGTTTTAAAGTATCGACCATCAAAAATGGCCTAGAGTTTTCCAAAGACATTTTTTTTTTATCTCTTTCATGCAGTCGATCTGGATATAGCCTGTATATCTCTGATCTGTTACGTCTGAAAGTTGCAAACGCATTTATCACTTTTATACTGCCAATAGATAATGTATTCCATATCATGAAAAACACAAAACACTATATGCTTTATTCATGTAGCAGCCATTAAACATGAAAATTGTTGGGTTAAATGGACATAAACTCACTGAATAAACTGCTTGTGGATACACAGAAATGAGTAATCACTGTACAATACAAAGACAAAATAACACTTCATCTACGCGCAAGTCATTCCTGTTCAGTTTTTGTTGTAATTTCAGGAAGTATTACTAAGTTTTGCGGACCTCATAAATGTATTATTTACAAAATGTCAAAACGTTTACTTGCATGAGGATGCTAGCAACTTAATTTTAATATTTTTAAGCATCTTCTTGTTGACGAATGTTGATCTCATCTAACTTATTTACTTTGAGAGAAACAAACCAACTAACACCACAAAACTTTCCAGAATTAATTAATATACTATCAATTGAAAATACTTACTAATGTTTGTTGCTGATTACACACAAAATGATGTCACGTCCATGTTATTGGCCACTGTGCAGTTTTGAGAACACACCTCTAGATGGCAGTGAAGAAAGTGTCACATAAAATATCATCATGAGTAATTCTACTGTATAAACATGACGCATGTTCTCTAATTGCAGGAAGAAGAAAATAAAAACGAAATAGTAATACCCAAATGTTTCCAGATGGCTTCACACACAGATGATACGATTAGAGAGCTTCTGTTTGAACAGTACAGTTTGTGTTTGCCAAGTTCATGTGTTTCCGTGTTAAATTCAGAGAGAACTTAAATAGCAAGAATAACTGGTTTTGGATGACTCTAGTCTACACAGAAAGACTGGAGAAAAGAAAAGCTCCTCTAGAAATCTCTATTGGCATTTCTGTTTGGACAGATGGTTCACTCAAAGTGATCTCAAATGGCCTTTGTGAACTATTGAACAACGTTGACACAGGGAAGTCTAATGATTTTGTTAGCAAGCATGTCCCACCCCGAGTACATACACAAAGACAAGGACGTCTGTCAGGAGGATGAAGGAAGTGAACGAATACAAAGATTCATTTACCTAGTCTTTTTCAGACCCAAATGCATTTGCTTTGCAAAACATTGCATCCATAATAAAACAACTCAGAAAGGTTCAAGAATTATGGGAGAATCTCACAAGTTCTCTAGATACTATTTTCATGTCAATTATTCCCCACAGTGGATTGTCATAACCATTATATTATTTAACTTGTTAGACATGTTATATAGGCCCATTTCACATAAGAAAAACATCAGGACATGAAATTTATGAGATTGAACCAGCAAGAAGTTAATAATAACAAATCTAGTAAAATATTTCATTGCCCAATCTTTATAACATTAATGTACAACAAAAGTTGTGTTTAGGCTGGTAACTGACAGGTTAAAGGTTCAAATCCTGAACAAATGGGACATTAATGAACTATCAACACCAAGAAACACTACTAAAATGACCATATTATAGCTTTGCTTTTGTACATACAACCATGGTATTCTTTCAGTAGTCTACTTTGCTTGGAGTGCCATTTAAATACCACGATAAATGAAAATGGTACAACCACAGAGTCAAAGACATGGAAACAGTAAAATTCGATGAAATTTCATGAAAATCGACTCAAATGAAATACGTTCGGTCTCATCGGATTTTCTCTTGATCGATATACGGTTAGTGCGATAAAAGCTGATGGAAACGTTATTTTCCGAATAAATAATGAATTGCGATTACGTTTTATGCCCTTTTATGGTTGCAACACGTCAGAAGACGAGTTCATTTCCGGCCAGTCTGTTTGCACACACATGGCGGATGTCAACAAAGACAGATGTAAGTGGACAAAGCAAAACGATGCTTCAACCAAAGGATTTCCGTGAACCACGATCTCCCAGAACTGATGGGGCGCTCGTTCCCACACCATGTCACCTCCGCTGTCGTCGGGCATACGTGCATCGTCATCATCATAGCAATGTTTATAGCGTCGCTGTTTTCTTAGGTTAGTTTTGCTTGTTTTTACGTGGCTTGGTTGAATTCTAATGTATAATGTGGTCTGTTATTTCTGGTTAACAGACTGCGGCGCTGCTAGTATAACACACCGTTGCCATGGACGCAGTTCACAGACGGAACAGACTATTTTCTTTAGCAGAAGCATACTCGTTTTTAAATCAATAAACTCGTTTTTAAGTCAATATTTTGTGTCAAATTATTGATTTTATTTATTTATTTGGTTGATTTATGTAATAAGCAGGATAATATATAGCGAGGCGGTTGTTATAGCGAACACCAACAACCGCCTCGCATACATTATTATCCCATTCATATGTCGCTATCAGCTGGCACATAAGCATTATTAGCCTTCAACTTGTGAAATATTGATAATTTTTTGGTAGATGGCGCGATCCGTTTTGTCAAACAAAACTTTGTTCGCAAAAGTTTGCTGTTGTTCGATTCAGTGCGAAAATAAATGGAAACACCTTAAAATGTCTCAAATCAATTCGATATACCAATTTGATCGCAAAGCAGCATGTGACGTCATTACGTACAGGTTTTTATTCGCTTTAAAGCCGTTGGATGGAAACACACTTTCACCAGCTTTATCCGCATGAGTTTTTTAACCGAATTTCAGATAATTCGATTGACAAGTGGATGGAAACATGGCTAGTGTCAAATTAGTTCTAACCCAGACAGCAAACTGACATTGAATCAACGTGGAAACGACGTCTCTCATGACATTGAAACAAGGTTGATTTTGCTCATCGAATTAACGTTGAACCAACGTCAGACGCGGCATTCTTCAAAGCTAAATGAAATCGAAAATTGGTTTGCTTTCATAACGTTGAAACAACGCGTTGATTTCAAGTTGATTTTCCGTTAGTTTTGAAAGAATGACGCATCTGACGTTGGTTCAACGTTAATTCGATGAGCAAAACAATGTCAGATCAACGTTGTTTCTATGTCATATTTCCACGTTGATTCAATGTCAGTTTGCTATCTGGGAATTTACTCAATTTTACTTCTCGCCTCAGAAAAGTCACACTTATACCCATATACTGTAGCCTATAGGCTATGTAATAACAGGCTACACACAACAGTACACAATTCAGAGTTTCTACTTCAGTAGTTTTTGTGGCTAGTTCTAACAGTATTTTGGCGCGTGGAAACATGTGGTTTCAATAAACAGATTCACAATTTTACATATGTGACTTAGTCTTGCTAAATTGTTAACTAGTTTACCCACCTTTTCGCGTGGCTTTGGGTTCCACTACCAACCACTAATATCCACTTTGTTCGACCCATTGTTGACGATAACTCGCGAATTAACTTATTCCACAATGGCGAAGGTTCAGCGAATGAGATCCCAGAGACGTATTTTTGGCATGATTTGCTGAGAGAATGGTCACGTTACCTAATTAATATTAAACAAGTCAAGCTTTCATTGTAGTGGGATTGGTTCATTCGTCTATCGTGCCTTACCAACATCTGACGCTCAGCCAATCAGCGAGGCCTATTGTCATTGTATTTAATTAACTATTTTTAAAGATGGCTCCTGTCTGTATACGCGAAGTGAACTGTCTTCATAAAGTATCTTCTTATTAAACGGTCTGTACACTTACAAAGTTCTCAATGCTTCGTTTTGCATGTATGGAGCCTCATTATGTTCCTGCGTTAGTGTGGGGCTATTTTGAGCCTTGTTAGTGGTATAAACTAGCGATTTCTTTTTACTTAGTCAATGCCCCCATTACTAGCATTATACGCTAAACAGTTTTTAGAGATAAAACTTACATTCGATTATCATGAAAACAAATCTCAGAGAACGGTTATGGTACCGATGTTTTATTAGACCAAAGGTTCATTGTTCGCCGGAGTTCTCCTTTAATCTGAGTCCAAAGTTCATTAAATCGAGTTATTTTCGGCGTCAGACTGCTTTTTATTGTAATTGTAAAGTAACAAATTTGTCAAAAACATGCACGACAAAGCAGTGAATTGTGAGGCATAATTTATTGTTTGAAAAAGTATGTAGCATGATTAAGCAAACAGATCTTCCGGTTTGCAATCAGTGTAAGGGTTGTTCGTTCATCTTGTCAATGGTGCAATTGAAGCAAAACTACAGTAGATTAATGTTATCTGAATGAAAACGTTAAACAACTCCCCACACAATTAATTCAGTATTTAATAAAATGCACAATCCAATCAATCACCCTATGCACAATCAAATAAATTACACTTGTTAAGCCTCCATTTTGCAAATGTGCCAAATATGAAATAAAGCAGATGTCTGTATTTTATTGCTTTACAGTATGTTATAAATGATGTCACAGAAGTCTGTCCAGGATCCTTTTCTCGTTCTCTGGCTCATGAGTACATGGTGAGATGCATCCACTACAAGAACAGAGTCATGCATTATGATTGTTATTAATCTTACTTTGAGTTCTGATTAATTAAATAGTTGTTTAAAAACATTACTTCATTTTCTCCCAGCATCATGTTTGGCCTGCCAGCAGCGAGTTTCTTGAATGTTTCTGGTGATGATAATAATAATAATATCAGTTAATGAGTGACAGCGATTAACAGAAATCATCCAGACAATAATATCTCTACAGTGGTTAGGTGTGGATGTTATGCTGTCATTGCATTATCTTTATAAAGCATGCTTCACAAATGATTTATGAAGTTAACTTATCTTTTTAGGATTTAAATTGCATACAGGAATTGAGATCTGTACTGGCTATCTAGTACAACATAATAGGCTAAAGACTCACTGGCCATGCAATCCATGCGCAGGACGAGCACAACAAAGTTTTCTAGTGTAATTTCACCACCAGCGTTACCGTATCGGAAAGCCATGAGATTCAGCATACTGTCACTCAATACAAACCCTTGAAAAAAAATAATATGACCAGATTCATTCTGTTGGTTTGTACATTTGGTGATTAAATGGTGTTGTAACGTATATGACTTTGAACTGAGTTACCTGAAGCCTTAAGAGCATTTCTGAGTTCACTCAGAGACAGACTTCCAGTGTGTGAAACATCCATGCCATAGAAAATATCCTGAGAAACAGACCAGAAAAGCAAATGCAACCAATTTTATACAGTATATGCAATGTGTAATGCAGACAAAATATGGACCACTGCATACTAGAGTCACTCAGCAAACATTTGTTCTTCCAACTTCCAATCAGAGATGTATAAAGTACTAGAAACCCGGACTTGAGTAAAAGTACAAGTGCTCTATCAATAAAGTGACTTGAGTAGAAGTTGAAGTGCTCTTTAAGCACCACACTTAAGTAGAAATACTAAAGTATTCAACATTTTTTGTACTTAAGTATTACAAGTAGTTTATTTTAAAATTCACTACTTAAAAAGTAAAAGTACAAGTATTGTGTCGTGTAATTATTAAAGAAAGCAGTCAAAAGTTTGAATTAGCAATCAAATAAGGCTCTTTGGCGGGATGCAAATTAGTTGACAATGTGTGTCAATCAATACCATTACCCTATAAAACTGGCATGTGATTTAGGCAGCATGAAAGCCAACTTGCAACAAATGATTCGTAAAATTTTTATAATTGTAACGAGTAACTAGCAGAACATTAAAAAAAGTATCAAAGTAAAAGTATTAAATTCATTGAAAATATCTACTGAAGTAAAAGTAGAAGTATGAGAAAAAAACAATACTCTAGTAGAGTACAGATACAGCATTTTAGTACTTAAGTACAGTAATTAGACCCTTATTCATCGTCTGGTGTCGTTTAAAGCCCTTTGAAGCTGCACTGAAACTCTCATTTGGACCTTGAACCATTTGGTTCCCATTGAAGTCCATTATATGGAGAAAAATCCTGGAATGTTTTCATCAAAATACCTTAATTTCTTTTTGTTTTCTTGTCATGCACAAGGCTGTCTGATCTCCTATTTACATCTGGAAGACGTATTTTAAGAGTGTTTGCTCATCTGCAAGACGTCTAGACATTTCCTGTCAGATGTCAAATAGACGTTTAGAAGATGTCTCTAAGATGTAATGATTTAGAATGGATGTTAAACTGACATCTTATAAACGTCTATTTGACATCTGCAGGAAACGTCCTATAGACGTCTTGCAGATGAGCAAACACTCTTTAAAATACGTCTTCCAGATGTAAATAGGAGATCAGACAGCCTTGTGCTATCTGGGCGTAGTTCTACTTCGTTACTATACATCTCTGCTTGCAATGGATCATTACCTTTATAAAAACGGCTCGTTTCCACAAACGGAGACATTCAAATTCACTGAGATTTCCAGTGACACTGAGCTGTATTGTTGCGTTAAAGAGCATCATCAAACAACTTGTAAAATGAGATAAATTATATTTTTGTTCCAGAATTTACAAATGGCAAACGACAAACACAAGTGTCTGAAAGCCTTTATAGTAGAGGATACATCCATCAGCGCCACCATGCTCTTACACAAATCCAAGCTGAATCCTGTAGTTTTCTGTGAATGTCCTGAGAGAAACATACGCAGAATCACAGATGACTAAAGGCTTTAAAAATATGAGCTGATATTGTGACTTTTCTCTGGAAGGTTGAATCATCATCACCTGCATAAAGATTCTCATTCAGAAGTTTCTGAAGCCGCTCAGCATCCACTTCTCCGTACTTACAGAAACAGACATATAATCAGATAGCAGATAAACAACTTTCTGTTCGATTTCAATAGTTGGGGTCTTTAAGTTGCTTTTAGTTATATAGCGGATCATAATCATTCCCTCATAATCCAGAACTGTTGGAGAGTCACATGTACCTTATCTGCATATTGTAGAAAGAGCTGGAAAGAATCGTCACTATCCCTGGGAATCATCTGAGAGAAATTAAGAAAATACACTGTATATAATTTCAGAACACATATGTATTATGTAATATATATATATATATATATATATATATATATATATAGACAGTGTATATGTATATATGTATATGTATATATGCTCTCTAAACAGTGCTGGGTTGTTTTAACCCAAAATTGAGTAAAATATGGACAAACCCAAATGTTGGGTTAAAAATGTAATTGAAAATTTTAACCCAACTTCAACTTTCAACTGTACATTTTTAATTAGATTTTTAACCCAACATATGGGTTTGTCCATATTTGACCCAAATTTGGGTTGAAATAACCCAGCATTTTTTAGAGTGTATATTTACAGTATGTGTGTGTGTGTTTATATATACCTTTCTTCTTGTTGTTAAATATAATTTAAGAACACACACACACATATATATATATATATATATATATATATATATATATATATATATAGACTGTGTGTTTATATACACACACTCTAAACAGTGCTGGGTAAATATGGACAAACCCAAATGATTGAAAATTTTAACCCAACTTCAACTTTCAACTGTACATTTTTAAATGAGATTTTTAACCCAACATTTTGGGTTTGTCCATATTTGACCCAAATTTGGGTTGAAATAACCCAGCATTTTTTTAGAGTATATATATATGTGTATGTGTGTATATATATATGTGTGTGTGTGTGTGTGTGTGTGTGTGTGTGTGTGTGTGTGTGAGTGTGTGTGTTTATATATACCTTTCTTCTTGTTATGCCATATCCAGAACTGTCTCTGAAGACACAAAATCAAAATATGTGTAGTCCAACATTACATTATATTATAATAGTAAACACTTTAAAACTGCTGCATGTGATTTTATGAATGAATGAATGTTTCTCGTATCCTAGTTTAATAAGCAGAGGCATCATAGACTAGCATCTCGACGAGCTCAGCACCTCATGTTAATAATGCGAAGGCTTACTCAATGACGGCTTCTGTCTTTGAATAGACTGTCAGAAGGAAAGATGAAGCTTCATTTGGCTGGTAAGTTGAAGGAACGATGAGGTAGTCGCCCGCTTTGAATCGGAAAAACTCCATGATTTCCCGAGCATTGATGAAGGCTTTGTTTTTTCCAACAAGACGGGCGTTTCTGAAGAATGAGGCAGGGAATTTTTCCCTTTGGTCCTTTAACTGGAATAAAAGTTACAAAAATATATATATTTTGTCTCTGCAAAACCTAAAATACAGCTAAATGTATTAGGAACAGGTTCAATACGTACATGAGCTGGCACCTGCAAGAGTTTCAAAATAAAAAAAAGGTAAAATACTCAATATTGCATTCAAATATACATGACTAGTTTTCAAAATGCTTTTTACAAACCTCATAAATGTTAAAGCCAATATGGAAATTGGTTGCCAGGTGCCTGTTTCTCTTGTGAGATTTTTGAATGAGAGACACGAGGAGATTTGGAGAGTGTTCATCTCCAGGGTTTTCAACGATCTCCTTAAGAGTCACACGAAACTGGGGATTCTTTGAAAAACTCTCTATACATGCAACAGAAGAAAAAAGAGAGACCAATCAGCCGTGCCCTATAGAGATTGATGTTTTTGCAAGGAGATTATGCTTAACCAGATAGTAGTAGTCATAGCCATAATAAAAAATAGTTGTAGTAAGAATAATATAACATGAGTTAGTTTACCAAGGTCATTTGGACAGCCACCAGCTGTTGTTCCAGTCACCCACTGGCCTTTGTGCACTTCAGTTTTCCAGGATGAAGAATGAGATCCAGCAAGAACGTTCACGTCCGAACAACAAATGTCCACATCTGAATAATTCCTGCAGAAATCCTCCATTGACATCCTGTAGAGACAGAAAACTGGCTGTGAAATGATATGAAATAGAGCCCGACCGATTTTAAAGGCCGATACCGATACAAATATTTTGGGGTTTTAAAATCCGATATTCCGATATATCGGCCGATATTTTTTTTTTTTATTAAATATTGTTGGATTTCACACACGTGTAAAAGAAAAGCTAACTTTTCTGCACAAGATACGTTTGATACTTTTTCTCTAAGTCTAAATGTTCACTCCTCGCAAGTATAACTTACATTTTACAATGCAGGGACTGTAACTAGAGATATGCTAGTTATAAATACAGTAATCATAACTTTATTTAGGCAGAAAAAGTTCATTGTGGTTTCCAAGCTCATTAATGTTAACGTTAGCGGTCTTCCACTGATGATAGTGGCGTTAGCTAGCTTTGTGGTTAGCTAGTCTATGATGAGCCATAATTTAGCAATAGATAACATCATACTGCAAATTGTAAAACATACATTTTCAATATAACAGGCCGAGGAGAGATGATTGAAGCGTGTTTCGTCTGTTTTTATTTTATTTTTGAAATATTCATTTATCGGCCATTATGACTGCCAATACCGATATTTTGGAAAATGCCTAATATCGGCCGATATATCGGTCTGGCTCTAATATGAAACCGTGGTATATACTAAATAAAACACCTAATATTCAAGAGACACAAGCATTGATCTAAAATAACTCACCAGAATTCTCCATTGTCAAGCACAACTTTGTGTTTTTGGTCCTCGGGACGTACAGATTCCCACAAAGGCGATCTAAAGAGACAAAGATATCAGATGCCTAATAATAGATGTAGAGGAATTATATCTAGAAATGTCAAGGATTCAGACCTGTCGCTCCAGTCTCTGTTCCACTCTCCCTGACCCCAAGGGTTAAAGACCCTCACCAGCTTCACTGGACGACCTCGATATACAACCTGTGAGAGAACATCTCATATAAGACGACTTAATGATACTAAACACTTCCAAACTTGTCGATACGGTATATTACAAGTATTGTTGGCTTTTGGACTAATTGCTTTTGCTTCTCTTTGGATAAAATGCGAAATGCATAATTAATGTAAAACTGTAAACCACAGTCTTATATAAGACGAAGTTCTCACCTCTGCCACTCCTGTGACCGTGTACGCATGCATTTCCACAAGGCCATTGGGTAACACATTATTTTGCAGCAGACCTGCTTGCTAAAAGGAACAAAGTGATTTTAAGACTTGGATTTTTTTTAATTGCGTTATAATAATTAATTTAAAGGGATACTTCACCTTCACCTGTATCAAAGCTCAAATGGTCGCCTTGCTGTTCTGTGATGCGTGTTCGTGACTCTCCTGTTCGAACTCGTTCATCAAAATGAACAAATCTTTTTCTAAGTCATTTGGTTTATTCAACGAACAACAAAACGAACGAATTGACTCGGAAAAAGATTTGTTCATTTTGATGAACGAGTTCGAACAGGAGAGTCACAGAACAGAGCAAGACGAGCATTTGTGCTTATAAAACTTAAACTTTGTTATTTATTTATTTATTAAATTAATGCGATTGTTTCACTTGATAAGACCCTTATTCATCGTCTGGAATCGTTTAAAGCCCTTTGAAGCTGCACTGAAACTCTCATTTGGACCCCATTGAAGTCCATTATATGGAGAAAATCCTGGAATGTTTTCATCAAAAACCTTCATTTCTTTACGACTGAAGAAAGAAAGACGTGGACATCTTGGATGACATGGGGGCGAGTAAATTAAACGTTTTTTCAAAAGTGAACTAACTACTCGTTTAATATTTGAGACGCAGTCTTTACCCCTCCAGGAGTGCCACATCCCATCAGGGATTCTGATTGGCTGGCTCGTCTCATGGTGTCCCACAGCTTGTCTGATGCTTCGCTCAGTTTAATGGTCACATGAGGTCCACCGGTGAAGTCCATGAAAGCTTCTGATATGTTTCCTGCGTCCATATCCGCATAAGAGCCGCACACTCTGGAAAAGATAGAAGTTTTTTCCCATTCATTATTTCTGTGCAGTTCAAAAAAACTAAAAGTACTGATCCTATTCGAAGCAGAAAGAATATGAAAAATCAAAAGTAAAAGATTGTTTATTCATATTATTTATAAGTGAATGAACTGCTCAACCCATGAAGCAATAAATTATAGTTTATAGTACAATATAAAACAGTCTGTTATTAAACTAAAACATACTTAGCATAAGCTTTCTCCAACAAAGCCGGCCAGAATTCATTTGCTGTTTTAGACTGAACAAAGATGAGTCGGCCGTCAATAGTTGGTAGTTTGTCATCGATAACCACATCCACCCATGATCCGAATCTCCAGAACTGAAGACAAAAGGCGAGAGATCTGGTATTATTTTAAAAGTATAGAAGTTTTAACTCTTAAACAATTGTTCAGCCAAAAATGGTTCAAACATTCACCTTAAAATGAAATATTCCTGCATAATCCACAGAAAAATTTTGTTCATCCTGGATAACCTGCTTCATAATTCGTTTTTGAGATGTAAGAGCTCCAACCGATGCCAGAAACCAGCAGTTACCTTCAGACAAACACAAACGTTTGTTTCACTATATTAGTTAGGACATTGCATAGATAGAGCATTGATTTTATATCAGGTTAATGATACTTTCTATTGTTTAATGCCTAACCCAAGCCCTACCTCTAACCAGTGTTTCTCAAACTTTTTCAGCCCAAGGACCACTTTATCTTCCTTTTTTTTTTTTTCTGAGGACCACCTAACAAAATCCCACTCCAAGACGCCCCCAAAAAACAAAAAAAAGTAAGGATAAGCTAAATTTAAGTTTAAATTTAACTCCTAACTGAGCTTTGATTGATATAGGCTTTTCATTTTTCTGTCAGTGAAGAAAGTAAACATAGGGTTAACTGATATAGGTTGATTTTGCCTGTGAATAATTTTTCTCAGACACGTTTATTTACTGAAAGCTAAAGCTTGGTAATTAAGTTTATTAAATGCATTCACAATACGTATAGTCTACACATTTATTATTGTTTGTATGCCTAATACAGGGCTTTATAATCAAAGAGGTCCTAAATTTGAGGTTGGTAGGGGCTTCACATTTTTTAGTTATCTGATATTTGCATTTTCAAGACGTTTGAAGACCAAAAAAAAAAAAAAAGGATAGGAAATTGCTCAGAAACATGTGCAAATAACTGTATGAAAAACTAGTTTATAAGCCTTTTTAACTAGTGAGGACCAGTAAAATGTCTTCACTCGTTGGTCATCATGATATTTTACTACATAAGTGAGGACATTTGGCCTTCACAAGTATAGCTACACACATACACGTACTTATTTGCAGTCTCTCTCTCACACACACACACTAAAATGCCATAAAGTGCAAAACAGCTTCATATTCTAAACTGTGTCTGTTTTCATTTGCTTTATCTCTATACTCTGAGTTATTTTTACATTTGACCTAATGAATTATTTAGTTTGAAGCTTCTCTTCAAAATGTGTTTATTGACATTTTCTGTTTATATTCACATGCATTCATCTAATGTAATAATATCTGATACTGTACACACCTGTTCGATTTATTGCACCGCCACGTTATCTATTAGCTCACTGAGACTGACCTTTGACATTTTCACCATCTCTAAATGATAGTTAGTTGGTTTCTGTTTTGCTTTACAGCAGCTCGTTGCATTTATGTGTTAATGATTTATTTTTCGAATATACATTTTAGGCTTCAAGGGTGTAATGTAAGCTTGGTGTGGACACTGTTGTTTATTAATATTAAATGGCACACACTGTAAAACCCAACAAGTTAAGCTAACTCATTTCATTTGAGGAAATCTTCATTTAAGTTTGCAAAAAACCTCTGAACTTATTTTCAATCAAGTTCACTAAAACAATAAAAGACAATTAAACTTTACACCGCATTTAATAATGTATATACTGTAGTTGAGACTGAGTAAAAACAGTGTATGAGCCTGAGCAAATATACACTTTGTGTACAGCACAGAAGACCTACCCAATCTGCCCTGAAGGAAGTCAAACCTTGAAGTTCCTTGAACAATGTAAAGGGGGTTCGGCACCAGTTCCTGAAGAACACAGAGGATTTATTTCACACACTATCAGCAGATCACACACAATCACAAGGGTACAAATTACTATCAAGAAACAACAGCAGACCAACCTAATTAAGTTCTGCTGAAAAAGTCATAGAATAAACTAAATATACCGGTATTTACTAGTTTATGTTTACTTTAAAGTATGCATGTTCATTTAGTACACTTTACCAGCACTCATGCATTAAAGGAGTAGTTCACTTTTAAGAAAAACTTTTGCTGATAATTTACTCACCCCCATGTCATCCAAGATGTCCATGTCTTTCTTTCTTCAGTCGAAAAGAAATTAAGGTTTTTGATGAAAACATTCTTGCATTTTTCTCCTTATAATGGACTTCAATGGGGACCAAAAGACAGTTTCAGTGCAAACTGTTCAAAGGGCTTTAAACGACACCAAACGATGAATAAGGGTCTTATCAAGCGAAACGATCGCTCATTTAATAAATAAATAAAAAAGTTTAAGTTTTATAAGCTCAAATGCTCGCCTTGCTTTGTTCGTGACTCTCCTGTTCGAACTCGTTTACCAAAATGAACGAATCTTTTTTCGAGTCATTTGGTTAATTCAACGTTGGGTCATTATTTTTTTTTTTTTCGTTTGGCTTGATAAGACCCTTATTCATCGTCTGGAATCGTTTAAAGCCCTTTGAACAGTTTGCACTGAAACTGTCTTTTGGACCTTGAACCGTTTGGTCCCCATTGAAGTCCATTATATGGAGAAAAATCCTGGAATGTTTTTATCAAAAACCTTAATTTCTTTTGGACTGAAGAAAGAAAGACATGGATATCTTGGATGACATACAATTATCAAAAGTTTTTTTTAAAGTGAACTACTCCTTTAAAGTTACCATGAATATGCATTATGAGAACCTTAGTTCTGCTAAGTTTCTGCTATAATCAGATCAGTTAATAGTTGAGTTTGTGTTTGCTGATGCTCACGTACATGTGGTCTTTTCCACACTACTTTCCAGAGCTCTTCACGCTCAAGAGGACCAAAACCGATGGACTTCATCTCTGGGGGGAACAGGTTGTCTCTAAACCTCAGTCTTTCCTTCAGGCAGAACTGCTTGAGCTGCTGGAAGTCCTGATCCAGGAACCGTTCCGGATTACCTGGAGATCCCTGTCCATCTTTCAGATTACGCTCCAACAAAATGTTTAAACACACTCCAGGGGCTGGCATTGTGGATCAGATCTGTGGAAGAAAGCTAGATTGCTTTCACACTGCATTATGGTGAACAAAAGCTTCAATAGCTTTTATAGTTGTTTACTTCAGTCGCTTAGATTTAGATTAGATCAAGCTTTTTTATATACAGTAAAATACAGTAAACATGATGGAAATACATGAATTGGTAACGCTTTACAATACGGCTCATTAGTTCTCTTACGAGAGGTTCTCTCGTATTGCGTAAGCTAGCTTACGCTACGGGAAAGATTCATCTTTGCTGAGAAGTTGAAGCCAAAAAATTATTCCATAATTTTGTAATCATTGTCAACGCAGTCTCTTCTGAGGCAGACCATGAGCGGGCTAGCTAGCGGCTCATTGGTTCGCTCAGAGAGAATGCACGAACCTATGGGAGAGCGGCGCTGAGTCCGCGGCCAATGAGCGGACGGCGCTCGCTTACTGCGTCACAGCCCGCCAAAAGGGGCGTGGCTACAGTGTATAAAGGTCGCTCTCCCAGCTCGTTCGTTGATTCTTGTTCATTCAGCGAGCTACACGCATCCGCTGTCCTGGGAAGAAGCCGCCGTCGTTGATAAGGCACCGTCTAGCGAGCTCCGGAGTCTGAGGAAGCCGGCCGTCTGCCACCTTCAGCCGCCCAGCAAGCTAGCGCCATCCGACGCGTATCCTTTTTACTATTCCATATTCCTAAAAGAGCCGAGCGTCTTTTTCAAGATGCCTCGAATTTCCTGCGGCTCATGCCGCTCTTCACTCGAGGAAGGAGACCGCTTCTGCGTTCTCTGTTTCGGAGTGGAACACGCAGAGCTCGCCCTCGCCAACGGAGGATGCGACCACTGCGAGGACCTGCCTCCGTCTTCCCTGCGGGCTCGACTACAGGCAGTCAGAACCGCTCCCGCGCCGCCTCTCACTTCGCCGCGGAAGAAGAAACGCCGCTCCCAGAGGCCGCCGGAGCCCCCTGCGGATCCATGTGGGCCGCCGCCGCCGCCCACCGACCGCTCTCCCTCTCCGCACCTGCCGGACTTACAGTTGCCGCCGTATGGCCGCTCTGTCGCCTCCGACGACACCGCGGATGAGAAGGACTCTTGTTCGCTGCACCCTTCTGACAGCGAGGATTGGTCGTCGATCGGCTCATCGACGAGAGAGTCTGCGGGGACCCGCGCCGGCATCGAGGAGGATCTATCGCGCCTCCTTCGCAGGCCTTCAACCGCCTGGGTCTCGAGTGGTCTCCTCCCCCGAGCAACCACCGAACCGGCGCTCGACCCCCGCCTGCAGCCGGGCTGCACCATTCCTGCCTGAGCTTCACTACGAGCTCACTAAATCCTGGAATGCCCCTCTTTCGGCTCGTATCCGCTCCGAGGGGTCCGCTTCGCTCAGTGGACGGAGCCGCCGAGATGGGTTATACTGCCATGCTGCCCGCGCCTTTGCCGCCGCCGAACAGGCCGCCTCAGCGCTGCATTCCATCCAGGCGCTCCAGAGCGACATCTTGTGCGAGATGGCGAACAGCGGTAGGAACCCGCCCATCCTTTCGGATCTGAGAAGCGCGACGGATCTTTCCCTTCGCGCCACTAAAGCCGCCGCACAAGCCCTGGGAAAATGCATGGCCGCCCTCGTTGTCACTGAGAGACACTTGTGGCTCACGCTCACCGATATGGGAGATTCAGAACGCGCCCTGTTCCTCAACGCGCCTATTTCTCCCACCGGGCTCTTCGGATCTGCCGTCACGGGCATCGTTGACCGCTTCTCCGAGGTTCAGAAAGCGACTCAGTCCATGAATCTGTTCTTGCCCCGCCGCTCTAGTTCTTCGACAGGCCGCTCTCACGAGCCTCCTGCCAGACCCCACAGCAGCGCCCGCCTCAGCAAGCTCAGCAGCCCCAGCGTAGACAGGGCGGCCGCCCTCGCTCTCGCTCAGATAGCCGCCGCAGACAGCCTCCTCCCAGGGGGCCTCGACCAAGATCGCGCTGAAGCCCGATCAACAGAAGTCTGCCTAGCACAGCTGAGAAAAGGACGGCTTCTCCCGCTGCGGCCGGATCGCCGTAAAAGCCTCGCCCACTGTTAGTCCCCGTCTCACCGCTGACTGCAGTAGTGTTTACCGCCACAAACAAGCCGGTTTCCCTGCCCGCTTGCGAGCGTCTAAAAGCCGTTTTCACGGCCATCCAGAGAGTTCACAAAAGAGCATAAAAGCCTCAAGTGTAATAAATGTGCCCACAAGCATGTGCTCACGTACACACTCAAGCACCTTATGCCCAGGGTCTCTCACAGAGCCCATTCTCACGGAGCGTGCACTATCCGCTCCAGTAGCAGAGAACATAAGCACGCCCACGAGCCCGTGCGCGTGTCCCCCCTCTGCCCGCTCTGTCACACGGCCCATAAAACTCCTCTCTGAGTGTAAGTCCCGTTGCCACCCACATTATGAGCGTGCCCACACACAGTGTCCAGCCCGCGATGTGCAGCTATCAGGGCAAAATCGCCATTCAACCGCTTACGAAGCGGGGAAGCCATCCCCGGCATCTCCCCGTGGGTTTAAGCATAATAAAGAATGGTTATCGATTACAGTTTCGTCGCCGCCCGCCACGCTCGCGCGTGCGGCTCGAATCCACTGTCAGCCGCCCGCTATGAACACGCTTCGCTTAGAAATAGCCAAGCTACTGCAGAAGGGCGCTATAGAGAGAGTCCCACCATCTATGACCGAGTCGGGGTTTTACGGCCGTTATTTTCTGGTTCCCAAGAAATACGGCGGCCTCAGGCCGATCTTAGATCTCAGGGCTTTGAACAAAGCGCTCATGTAGAGACCGTTCAAAATGCTCACAGTCAGGAAACTCCTCGCGCACGTCCGCCAGGGGGACTGGTTCATCTCTCTAGACCTGAAAGACGCCTATTTTCAGATCCAGATAAACCCTCATCACAGGCCATTCCTACGTTTCGCCTTCGAGGGCCAAGTTTACCAGTATGCCGTTCTCCCGTTCGGCCTATCCTTAGCACCCCGTACGTTCACGAAGTGCATGGATACAGCGCTCGCCCCCCGGCGAAGTCAGGGGCTGCGCATACTGAATTATCTGGACGACTGGCTGATTCTAGCAGATTCCCAGACGGAGCTGCTGTCGCACCGCACAGTTCTCCTCAACCATCTGGAAGCGCTGGGACTCTCTGTCAACTGGACAAAGAGCTCTCTCCAGCCCAGTCAAACTATTTCGTTCCTCGGAATAGATTTGAACTCTATCACGACGACGGCTCGCTTATCCACACAGCGCGCGCGCCGTGTTCAGCGCCTAGCCGCCTCGTTTCAGATGGGTACCCTTACATCCCTGAAATCGCTTCAGAGGATGCTGGGTCATAGGGCTTCAGCCTCCGCTGCGCTACAGCTGGGTCTCCTGCACATGCGCCCCCTTCAATTCTGGTTAAAGAGCCGCGTATCCCACCACGAGTGGACGACGGGCCGCCAGATGATCAGGATTACTCAGACTTGTATCACTGCACTGCAGCCATGGGCAGCAAGCGAGTGGTTTCAGAGGGGCGTTACCATGGGAACATTCTCTCGCCGGAAAGTCATCTCGACAGACGCATCCAACTCGGGTTGGGGAGCGGTTTGCGAGGGCTCACCGGCCGCCGGCCAGTGGTCGAGCCACGAGAGTTCCTTACACATAAACTGTCTGGGAATGATCGCGGTCGAGAACGCGCTGCTGTGCTTCCTCCCGCGCACAAACGGTCACCACGTCCTGATTCGCTCCGACAATATGGCCGTGGTATCATACATCAACCGTCAGGGCGGCGTCAGATCCAAGAATCTCTTTCATCTGACACGCCGCATCCTATTGTGGTCCCAGAGTCACCTGCTTTCGCTCAGAGCGACGCACGTGCCGGGCCATCTGAACGACGGTCCAGACAGGCTGTCCAGGAACCTGGTCTCCCCCGGAGAATGGTCCCTGCACACTCAAACAGTCCAAACACTGTGGCGCCTATCGGCAGAGCGGAGATAGATCTTTTCGCGTCAGAAGAGAACGCTCACTGCCCAATATTCTTTTCAAAGAGCGAGGACGCGCTAGCCCAGGATTGGCCCCGCCGCCCGCTCTATGTTTTTCCCCCGATTTCTCTGCTACCGCAGGTCATTCAGAGAATCAGGGACTCACGCCACTCGGTGCTCCTCATAGCCCCGCGCTGGGAGAATCAGATTTGGTTCCCGGAGCTAACGCGGCTGTCACAGACAGCCCCGTGGCCCATTCCAATCAGAGCAGATCTCCTCACTCAAGCCCGCGGCTCGATCTGGCATCCCCATCCACAGCGCTGGGCGCTTCATGCATGGGTGACCAACGACTACGCGTCGAATTGCCAGAAGGGGTTTTGAACACGATCAAACACGCCAGAGCGGATTCTACCAGAAAGCTCTATGCTGCAAAATGGTCTGTGTTCTCCAAATGGTGCACCGACAAGAATTTGGACCCACGGACGTGCGAGGTTTCGTCTTTGCTAGTGTTCCTTCAGGAGATGCTGGATAAGGGCAGGTCCCCATCCACTCTTAAGGTTTACGTGGCAGCCGTCGCGGCGTTCGCTGAACCCCGGCGCGCCCAGTCTCTGGGCAAAGACGAGCTTATCATCCGCTTCCTCAGGGGAGCCAGAAGGATGAACCCCCCTCGCCCCCCTACGGTGCCGGTCTGGGATCTTTCCATAGTTCTAGAAGCTCTGAAAGCCCCACCGTTTGAACCACTTGAGTCCGTGGAGCTAAAATACCTCTCGTTAAAAACCGTTCTTCTGACGGCTCTCGCCTCAGTAAAACGTGTGGGGGACATTCACGCGCTGTCTTCGAGCGCCGCGTGCCTAGAGTTTGGACCGAGTGACTCCATAGTCATTCTAAAGCCTAGACACGGTTATGTTCCAAAAGCGATTGGTACCCCTTTCAGGGCGCAAGTGATCTCTCTATCGACGCTGCCGGCATCCGATAGCGAACGTGACGCTCACCGCCTCTGCCCGGTTCGGGCTATCAGAGTGTACACTACACGCGTTGCCGCGTTCAGACGCTCGGAGCAGCTGTTTGTGTCGTTCGGTGGCCGCACCAAGGGACTAGCCGCCTCGAAACAGACCCTATCCAGGCGGATAGTAGACGCGATTGCCTCTGCTTATGCCGCTAAAGACCTGCCTTGCCCTCTGGGCATCAGGGCTCATTCCACCAGAGGCATGGCCTCATCGTGGGCATGGTCCTGCGGGATTTCCATCCACGACATTTGTGTGGCTGCGGGATGGGCTTCCCCCTCCACCTTTGTCAGATTTTACAACTTGGAAGTTCCAGCCTTACAGGCTAAAATTCTGGCGGTCTAGTACTCACAGCCCTCCTATAGAAGCCGCACTATCGGGAGTTCCATCACAACCGTTCACCCCTTGTGTTCCCCTATGTGCTTATGCATTAGCCTTCACATCACGGCCCGCCTTCGCCGGCCGCCTTGGGCGTTTTTGCACTAGATAGTAACGGCCGCTATCTGGCCGCCGTATTATCTTCATCCACTTATAGATTCCCCCGGTGTTCCCCTGGGATGCTTAGTGGTTACTTAGCGCGCACGGCGTTGACCAGGTGTTCCCGTAGCGTAAGCTAGCTTACGCAATACGAGAGAACCTCTCGTAAGAGAACGAATCGGTTACCTAACGTAACCTCGGTTCTCTCTAGATGAGGGAACGAGTATTGCGTTCCCGGCCGTGCTTGCGCCACCAGCGTTTCGCTTCATGCTACAGAATCAACGAACGAGCTGGGAGAGCGACCTTTATACACTGTAGCCACGCCCCTTTTGGCGGGCTGTGACGCAGTAAGCGAGCGCCGTCCGCTCATTGGCCGCGGACTCAGCGCCGCTCTCCCATAGGTTCGTGCATTCTCTCTGAGCGAACCAATGAGCCGCTAGCTAGCCCGCTCATGGTCTGCCTCAGAAGAGACTGCGTTGACAATGATTACAAAATTATGGAATAATTTTTTGGCTTCAACTTCTCAGCAAAGATGAATCTTTCCCGTAGCGTAAGCTAGCTTACGCAATACTCGTTCCCTCATCTAGAGAGAACCGAGGTTACGTTAGGTAACCGATTCGTTAACATGAACAATACTTCTACAGCATTTGTTAATCTAGATTACAGTAATATTAAATTCAATATTTACACTCTAAAAAATGCTGGGTTGTTTCAACCCAAATTTGGGTCAAATATGGACAAACCCAAATGTTGGGTTAAAAATCTAATTTAAAAAAATGTACCGTTGAAAGTGAAAGTTTTACATTTTAAATGACATTTTTAACCCAACATTTGGGTTTGTCCATATTTGACCCAAATTTGGGTTGAAACAACCCAGCATTGTTTAGAGTGTACTAATACACTATAAAAAAAAAAATCAAAGGTTGTATTTCTTAACATTTGATAATTCACTGAAACTAACATGAACAAACAATGAACCCACCCTAAAAAATGCTGGGTTGTTTCAACCCAAATTTGGGTCAAATATGGACAAAAATGTACAGTTGAAAGTGAAAGTTGAAGTTTTAAATGACATTTGTAACCCAATATTTGGGTTTGTCCTTATTTGACCCAAATGTGGGTTGAAACAACCCAGCATTGTTTAGAGTGTACTAATACACTATATAAAAAAAAAAAAAAAAAAAAATTATAAAAAAAAAAATCAAAGGTTGTATTTCTTAACATTAGATAATTCACTGAAACTAACATGAACACACCCTAAAAAATATGGACAAAAATGTACAGTTGAAAGTGAAAGTTGAAGTTGGGTTAATTTTTAACCCAATATTTGGGTTTGTCCATATTTGACCCAAATGTGGGTTGAAACAACCCAGCTTTTTTAGAGTGCAGTTGTAATTTTTAGTAACATGAACAAAGATGAACAAATACATACAAAGGTTTGGTGCATTGTTAGGTAATACATTTAGTAATGTTTGACTAATTAACCTAATTGTAAAGTGTTACCCATGAATCTTTAACTTTATGCTTATTTCTTCGTTTAATTTTGGTTTCTGAGATAATGCGTTTGCACCATGTCTGTATGTGCATGACTGAACTAAAACAGCATTTGCATGTAAAAAGTGAAATGATAACAGATTAAAAACATACCTTTTCTGTCTCGCTGTGGCTGGAAGATTATTCCGTCCGTCCCTAAGCAAAGAGAACCGAGGAGTGCGACTCCGCCTTCTTCTCCAGGTGTGATGCAACTTTATGGCTCTCAGGTCAATATTTAAATATTGTGCAAATGTCATGCTATATACGTAATGAGCCGAATCTTTTACAGTGGTAGGATTCACTCCGAAACTAAAACTTATTTGATGTTAGACTGCAGTTTACTGTAATTATGTGTCCAAAACATGCATTATCAGCAGAATGACAGTGATTGATTTAATGATTGTAAAAACCATGAGCATAAGGTTTGCAAACAATGTAAGGCTTATTCATCTAATCAAAGGTGCTATTTAAGCTATACAAAGCCAAACTACAGACTAGATCCTGCAAATACGACCATCCTCAAATCCCTGATCTCTCAGGATCCAGTACGAGCTCTCCCGCCTCACACACCTGCAAACTTCCACACATTCCCTTCGTTCTGTGCATCATATCTCCTGAAACCCCCCAGGATAAGCTCTGTTTTGTGACCTTAAAAAACATTAAAAATAACACATTGCAGGAAAAAAAAAGTTTTACTTAAAAGTTAAGTTTGCTTTGCACCCAAAGTTCTGTCATTATTCAGTAATACACAATTTTCCCTCCACATCAGTCAATGATTTCAGACATACATGTCTCTTTTTACAATGTATTACGATTTGCAAACTCTTCCTCATTTTACGAGATTCGAAACACAGCCCGGTGACTTAAAATAGTTTTTAATAGAAACCTCAGCAGTTCAAGTCGAGTTTGCACCGGGGCTATTTTTCCATGATAGACTTTTAGACGTTTTCCAGATACAGGAGTCACTTTAAGTGTTAAACAAGTGTAATAGTTTAAGTTGCAGTCCCCAGGTGAAAATAAAGTGCACTAAAAAAACACTTAAATACAAGAAAGTACATTTATAGGACATTCTTACCTTTTCTGCTAAAAAAAACCCTGTAAAAATTATACACTGTAAATAATTCACTAATTAAAAGAATATTTTCACTTAAGTAGTACTTAAGTGTAATTGCGAAAGTATACTAAATACCATTGATATTTAAAATGTATTTTAGTGCATAGAAATAAGATATAGAATTTAAAAAATACACAGAAGAGTAGGCTATTATTCATTTTTAACGGATTAAAATAGCTCATTGTTAGTGTACATTTAGATAGCTATCATAAGTTTAAATTAAACTTAAACTTTTAGAAAAACTAGTATAGTGTCTCAATGATACTGAAAGAAAAGTTTCAAAAATTAAATTGACTGCTTTAATAGTAAATAGCCAGAAGGTGGCGCTGTGCGCAAAGTTATAAAAGACGAAAGTCAAGAATGCCTGAATAATTGATCTGAGAACATAATAGTACGCAGTAGTATAGATAATAATATCTGTTTGAATTTAATCGTCTCTTTTTTTCCCCTTTATTTTGGTACTGAGAGTATAAAATTATTATTCATTTATTCAATTATTCATGGTGGTTAGTAACAGTAAAGAGTGAACACGAATACACACTGCAAAATTTCAGCCTAAAAATATGACATTTGTATTTCACTATAGTATATATATATATATATATATATATATATATATATATATATATATATATATATATATAACTATATGCTATGTGCATGAAAATATAGGCAAACATCTAACTGCTGTTCTCTATTTCATCAACTTTACTTTTATCCAAATTAATCAACATATGAAATAAGTCAGCAAATTAGTTCAATTAAATTGGACATATTCACTTTTTTCCTAAAAGAAATTCATCAGTTTGTCAGATCACACTCATGGACAATGTGAGCTCTTTTCCCATCATCTTTGACCAGTTTGTACCATTTCTTATTCAATATTTCAAGTATTTTCTTGAGTTTCTATATGGCACTTGTAATCCAGATCAGAACGGGCTCACTGGTCCGTGTGAATTATTCAAAACTATGTTCCCGTCTTGTATTTTTCTTTATTCTTTAGAGAGGATTGTTGAAATCAATGTCTGCTCGTTCTCAGCTCTCACGGAGCCTCAACAGTGTTACTGAACTCCACAGACTCATTATTATATAATAATAACAATTATTATATTTTATCAGCAAGCCCTGTTTACACCCTAAACAATGCTGGGTTGTTTTAACCCAAATGTTGCATTTATAAATGTACAGTTGAAAGTGAAAGCTGAAGTTGGGTTAAACTTTAAAATGGCATTTTTTTAACCCAACATTTGGGTTTGTCCATATTTGACCCAAATTTGGGTTAAAACAACCCAGCATTGTTTAGAGTGCATTGTCTCACCCTTACGAAAAAGTTTATTCAAGTGTGATACTTCTTTTCTAAAACTAAAAATAAGGAAGGACACTTTCAGTATAATTATGAGAAGTACTGAAAATTACACTAAAATAATATTACACAACCCAAATATGGGTAAAATATGGACAAACCCAGCCATTGGGTTAAATCTTTTAATTCAATCTTTAACCCAACACCCAATTTGGGTTAAAACAACCCTGCATTTTTAAAGTATAAAAAGTCTAAGAATATTTATATACTTGTACTCAATCTTTTGATGGAGATCATATTATACTTAAAAGTATAATTAAGTATTCTAAATGTATACTCAGTAGTTTACAGAGAGTATACTTCAAAGTGTGCTTTCATTAACTAAAAAAGTACACTCTAAAAAATGCTGGGTTGTTTTAACCCAATTTTGGGTCAAATATGGACAAACCCGAAATGTTGGGTTAAAAATGTAATGTAAAAATTTAACCCAACGGCTGGGTTAGTCCATATTTGACCCAAAGTTGGGTTAAAACAACCCAGCATTTTTTAGAGTGTAGGCTACTGGACTTTCAGTTTTTATACAAGTTCACTTGTAGTATATTCGCAATACAAACAAAAAGTAGTTAGTGAATTCTGTAACCAGACAGTTTCTGGTCTCAATGACTTCCATAGTAGGAAAAAATATACTGGAAGTCAATGAGACCAGAAACTGTCTGGTTACAGAATAGATATTCTTCTAAATATCAGAAAATCGGCTGAATTGATTCGAAAACGGTAAAACTCGACTGTTTAACTCTGCGGGAGTTGTAAAATGAGCCAATTTCCAAAAAAAGTGGAGTATCCCTTTAAGTGTAAAATTCAAATATTTTAGGTGTTTTATCATAATCTTTAAATTAAATAGAAAATAAATAGTGAAGCTGTTTTAAAATAGTATTAGCATCTTAAAATCAATTGTCATCAAAACAAAAAACAGGAAATGACATCACAGATTGCATATCAAGGTCTGTAAGATTCTCTGAAAATTTGAACCATTTTATGACAAGTTAGTTCTGATACGAGCATTTGAAGGATATTTTTGTCATTGAATGCATTGACATTGTCGAAAGTGCATGATAAATGAATACCAAACACTTCACCTTTTTTATTTTTCAAAGTGAAAGATGCATCTTTCATGAAATATTTTGCCATAAAATTATGAGTTTTTCTAATGTGAAAATGAAATGTCTCAATGAGTCCAATTAAACAGACTCTCGTGTGTTTGTTTCCAATGCATCGCCATCATAAGTGGGAGATACTAATAGATTGGCTTTTGATTATTTGACAGTAATACTCTAGCGTGGGTTCAGGAGTGTTACTGTACATCCGAACCCAAAGCGAGCCGTTTATTAGTGGAGCGGCTGACTCTTCTTCACCGGGATACGGTGACATCTCCGCTGAGTTGCGCTGTAATTATCCCGTATGTCATCAGGCATCCAGCGAGATGCTCTTCATGACTTTATTATTAATAAAACTCACGTGTGTGAGAGCGCTCATGTGAACTAACACACTGAAGATCCCTATGGAAGTTCACATTATGTGTGGAGACACCTGTCACCGGTACACTTACAGACTGTGGGGTTTGTACACAAGGGTTAATTTAGTGGAAAATTACAAAACACAAACACACACACTCGGGTTTCCATGTTAAATGGGGACCTGACTATTATTCTGTACAAACTGTATATTCTCTCCCCCTACCCCTAAACCCATCACACACACACATACACACACACGATTGGTTGATTAGATCATTGCATTAAAGGGTTAGTTCACCCAAAAATGAAAATTCTGTCAGTATTTACTCACCCTCATGTTGTTCCAACCCTGTAAGACCTTCGTTCATCTTCAGAACACAAATTAAGATATTTAAGATATTAAGATCGCTCCTGCATACAGTCCATAGGCTTCTTGAGGGACTGGCTCTTGCTGACCTCGAAAAGTCATTAAAGACATCGTTAAAATAGTCCAAGTGACTACAGGGGCTCAATCTTAACTTTATCAAACGACGAGAACACTTTTGTGCGCAAAAAAACAACAAAAATAACGACTTTATTTCAACTATTCACTTCCTTCTCCATGGGCCTGTAGTCAGTTAACGTAGTGTGATTGCGTAGAGCTACGTCACACGTAGGCTCACTATTGGCCGACGCTGGTCATGTGTATGTGATGCGTGTGACGTACAATAACAGAAGCTTATGCTATTAAACTAGTAACCTGACTCGCGCAGAGGGTGAAATTAACGAATAATTGAAATAAAGTCGTTATTTTTGTTGTTTTTTTGCGCACAAAAGTGTTCTCGTCGTTTGATAAAGTTAAGATTGAGCCCCTGTAGTCACTTGGACTATTTTAACGATGTCTTTAATGACTTTTCGAGGTCAGCAAGAGCCAGTCCCTCAAGAAGCCTATGGACTGTATGCAGGAGCGATCTTAATATCTTAAATATCTTAATTTGTGTTCTGAAGATGAACGAAGGTCTTACGGGGTTGAACAACATGAGGGTGAGTAAATACTGACAGAATTTTCATTTTTGGGTGAACTAACCCTTTAATGAGAAATTGAACAGGTGTTCCTAATAATCCTTTACGTGAGTGTAAATATAAACAGCACGGAGATGACATTAGTTCTTGTAAATACATAGGCTATTACATAACAAAAACATCATAATTTGCAGCATGAAAAGCCAATAAGAGTTAATATTTCATGATTTTATTAATTTATTTACAAAAGGAATCTCATCTGCGTTATCCTGCATGTCTCTAATGGTTTGACTGGTCGATGCCGTACACTCTCAAAAAAAAAAGGTACAAAAGCTGTCACTGGGGCTGTACCTTATCAAAAGGTACACGTTTGTACCCAAAGGCTGCATATTGGTACCTTAGTGGTACATATTAGCACCTAAAATGTACATATTAGCACCTAAAATGTACATATTAACACTTAAAATGTACATATTAGGACGTAAAATGTACATATTAGCACCTAAAATGGACATATTAGCACCTAAATTTTACATATTACTTGAAATGTACATATTAGCACCAAAAATGGACACAAGTTTACTTTTTGAAAAGGTACAGCCCCAGTGACAGCTTTTGTACCTTTTTTTCTGAGTGTAACTACACCATTCTTCTCTATTTAAAACTAGCCTTAAAGCAGCTCATCCTTATGTAACCGTTAAGATGAATGCTAATTGATATTGCTCTCTCCAGGTATCCAGCGAAAGCTGTGGATATATAACCGTA